TCTACAGTTCGAATCCCCTATACCCTGTAACCTACGACGACCTACCTACCACTGGCAGTCCTACAGGTCGCGGGTTCAACTCTACGGGTTGACACAGGTACTGTACACAGGTAAGGTGGGGACTAGGGATCGAGCCCTGGGATCCGCCTCAGCTACTGCGAACTGGTGAATACTGTTTCACTCCCGCCGGCCTAAATTCGAGGTCCTCCGAGAATATTTCAGTCCAAGGCAGGACCTTTACCTTTTCTGTCTCTTTCGTAGGCATTGACTATATCGGGAGCTGTTTCTAGAAGTTCAGTTCTAGTGAACCACCCTTCGTCTTCTGGTTCCTGATATGCAAACCTGACTTTATACTGTTTCTGAGGACGACCTCGACTTCCTGTTCTAAACACGTCTCCACCTACAATGTCGTCAATGTCGTACCTTCCATCCATGTCTGGAGGGATCATGGAACGTCTCGATGGAAACCGGTCACTTACTGTGCATGGCAACAACTTTGACGCATGGAAAACTGGGTAGGTGTGGAGGTGTAGTGGAATCTCTATCGAGTAGGATGGGCCGTCTTCTCCGCCCTTGACTTCTAGAACTGGCGACGGTCCTCTATACGCGGGCAGTAACTTTTGCGAGATGTTCTCCTCAGGAGCAAACTCTTTAGCCTTGACCCAGACTAAGTTGCCTACGTGGAACTGTGAGGGGCGACGATGTTTGTTGGCTTGTTCTATCATCCTATGTTGGGCCTTCCTGAGGTTCTCTACAACAGTAGCTAGCTCTTTCTCGTGCTGTATAGCAAACTCCCTAGTACCGGGCGGCAGCCTGTGAATCTGATCCCGGTTAAGTCCTTCAAATGGTCGGCGTGGTCTAAAGGACTTATGCAGTTCGTTGGGAGTGCGGCACGTAGACAGGTGCACACTATTGTTGTAAGCGCTGGCGACCTTGGGGAGCATCTCATCCCAGTCAACTTGATCTGGCCTAATATACATTCTCAGAACTTGCTGCAGGATCTTATTCATCTGTTCAGTCTAGCCGTTAGTCTCTGGATGACGGTCGGACGACATCAACAACTTAGAACCATAGACTCTCATCAACTCCTGCCAGTTCTGACTTGTGAACCGGGTGTCTCTATCACTAACTATGGACAATGGGACCCCGTGCTCACTGACCCAATGATAAAAAAACTTACGGATCACTAACTCCATTCGTGCCTCAGAAGGCAAAGGGATGAAAACAGCATACTTGCTGAATCTATCGACTATCACCATGACTTGGTTCTTGCCATGCCTACTCTTGACGCCTGCGTCCATGAAGTCAATGGACACTGAATCCCCGGGCTGATCAGGAATAGGCAAGGGTGTGAGAAGACCTAGCGGAGCACGCGTAGTAGTCTTATTTCGCTGGCAAACTTTACAGCTGCGGACATATTCTATGCAGTCATTCTTCATTCCTGGTCAATTGTACGCGTGCATTAGATTGGCTAGAGTCTTTTGCCAACCAAAATGACCTTCTGTGTCGTGACATTCTCCTAAGATTAGACTACGGATCTCCTCACTATTAGGAATGCACAAATGGTCAACTACGTTAGTCTTCTCGAATAACAGTCCATCAGTAGTGCAGTAATCTGGCTCGGTCTCTGGGGCCTCCTTTACTCGCTTGAGAAGGTCACTATAGATAGGGTCCTGCGCATATGCTTCTTTAACTCTTTCCTGCAGGTCTCTCCCTATGTCCACATAGTGAACTATCGCTCCAAAGTAGTCAACTCTCCTACTCAGAGCGTCCGCAACTACATTATATTTCCCCTTGACTAGCTTGAGCTCGAAATCGTACTGGTCTATTTCCGCGGCCCACCTCGTTAGCTTAGGTGCCATCTTGGCCTGCGTCTTTAACCATATTAACGTCTCATGGTCAGAATAGACTTTGAAATGCCTCCCAAGCAAGTAGTGCTTCCAGCGTTCTAGTGCTTGCCTGAGAGCGTCGAGTTCCCTCTCATAGGTAGATGTCGCAACCTTCTCTGAAGGCATTCTAGCAGACATGAACTCTACGGGCCTATAACCATTGCCATCGTCTTGCTGCAGAACAACACCTATGCCGTACTGACTAGCGTCAGTATGTGACGACAAAGGGTAAGGACGGATCAACCACCTTAAGGACTGGATACTCTATCAGTGCTTGCTTCAACTTCTTCATACCAGACGTGCAGTCTTTGTCCCACTTCCAAATAGTCTCTTTCCTGAGCAGTTTGCGAAGGGGCGCAACAATAGTGGAGAAGTTCCTTACGAACTTCCTGTAATAATTTGCTAGGCCTAAGAACGACCGCAACTCTGTCAACGTACGCGGTGTAGGCCAATCCCTGATCTCTGCAATCTTACTGTCTTCTGGCTTGATGTCGTCTCCGTCTAAGACGTGTCCTAAGTACAAAACTTGGGTCTTTGCCCATTCACACTTCTTTGCGTTGATCTTGAAGTTAGTTTCTCTCAGCTTCTCCAAGACCTGCCTGAGATGACCCTGATGCTCTTGGAGGGTCTTGCTAAACACTAGGATATCATTCAAGTAAACTACAACAAACCTATTTAACCACGGCCTAAACAAATCATTCATACATTGCTGGAAAGTTGTTGGCGCGTTGGTCAGTCCAAAGGGCATCACGATGAACTCGTAGTGCCCGTACCTAGTCCGGAAAGTTGTCTTGTACTGATCATCAGGATGAACCTCTATCTGATGATATCCGGACTTTAAAATCTATCTTCGTAAAATACTTTCACCCCTGCACTCGATCTAAAAGATCATCTATCCTAGGCAGTGGCTCAACATTCTTTACTGTGATAGCATTCAGACGCCTATAATCTATACACATCCTCAGCTCTCCCTCCTTTTTGGGAACAAAGAGAACAGGTGCTCCAAAGGGAGACGAATTGGGCCTAATCCAACCCTTCTCGAGGAGCTCGTCTAATTGCTTGCGCACTTCCTCTAACTCCCGCGGGGACATTCTATACACGGCTCCCTTGGGCGTTCTACTGCCAGGCTCTCGATTCGATGTTGGATGGGCCGCGGAACTACTCCTATCGGCGGCTTAGCTAGATCTTTAAACTCCTCAAGCAGCTTGGCAATAGCAGGGTCTATAGGCTTTTCTTCCTTAGGCTCAGTTACTGGCCTAACATAGGCTACAAAAACCTGTTCCTCTAGTTGCTTCTTCTTCCCTAGCCTTGCAAACATAGGGGCACTAAGGCAGCAATGCGCCAGGGAGTTGTCTACTCCTGACACATGGAACAAACGGGCAGTCTTGATGCCGCCTGACGGACTAGGGAGCCTACACTCGTGCTCTCTCAAATGGAGTGTGGCCCCTGCTGCCTCTCCCCAGTCCATACCTAGGACTATGTCAAACGGGAGGCTATCCTCTACGAGGAGAGTCAGGGAATGGAGAACTTTCTTCACTTTCCCATCCTTTTCCAGGCGGAAATACGCCTGGACTCCCTCTACGTACTCTTCTACTCGCATGGTGCGATTGTCCGCGAGGATACTCACGATGGGGTCCGCTAATCTTTGGTCCTTTAGTTGTAACTTCAGCTTCTGTAGCGCCTTTCTACTAATATAACTACGAGTTGCTCCACTATCTGCTAAGGCGCCAACTCGACCTCTAAAAATCTCTGTGTCTACTAATATAAGCTGCCCCTTATTCTTTTTTTTCATCTTGGCCCAGGCGAGCATCCTCTCCTTCAATTCTTCAGCCACGCCTGTGAGGGAGGTGTTTAGAGAGACTCTAACACAAGCAGTCTCTGGACAGCCATCTAGACACCGGTCTGCAACCTCTGCCATAGGCACATGTAGTGTGGTAGTCTCCGGCAGGCTAGCGCTACTTTCCCCACATGGCCTTATGGTAGGGGCAGTTGCTACCCCTACCGGCGGCTGCCTTTTGGCCCTTGAGCAGCCGATCGGGTCTCTCTATACCTCGGACAATATTTAATGATGAGGCCAGGGTCACTGCAATAAATGCACTGCCCCTGGTTCACACTCTAATGCCATATGCGTTGGTCCAGACCCAAATCTTCCCAAGGCCTGCCTTGAGGCAGCCCTGGGTGCCAACCACTTCTCCTATACGGGGACCTATTCCCAGACCGGTTTTGCGGGGGACCTTGACCCCTTCCTCCCGCTTGGCGGTTTCCTCCTCTGTCGCCAACCCCCTGATCGCCCTGAGAACAGTTCCCTGAGGCCCGGCCCCCTTGGCCCTGGCCTCGCCCTCCTCCTTGCGGCCTCCCTCCAGCCGCGACAGCAGCGTAAGTCCTCCCTTAACTCGCGCCACTGTCTTCGTCCTCTAACCCCCACTCAATCTGCTCGTAGGGGATTTCGTCAACATTACCTTCATCTAGAGTGAGGACAAGACTATCCTTAGTCTTAACTTGCCCTGAGATAGTGCGACCTTTCCATTGCTTTCCCTTGTCTAAGTCTTTGTGCCAGAAAGTGGAAGCTCACACCAACTTTGCCTCAAAAGCCATCACTTCGCGGCTAAGGGAATCATAAGTGGTGGCAGGGTCTTCACTCTTCGTGAAGAAATGCCGTCGGAAGGCTTCGGGCATAGCCCGATAGAAGAGGCTGACCAACTGGGTCTCTGTGACCCCGTGGTCAGGTACAACCACTAATTCGTCCATTGTGCCCTTGAGTGCCCTGACACTCTTCCATTTACGAGAGTGCATTGTCTGAAGCCTATCTGAGGCCTTGACACTACGAGCGACATCAGCAAATCGCTCGCGCAGCAATTTCATAAAATCGACGAGGGGGGTGAACGACGAGTAGGCAACCGCATCATAATTGCAGTTAGCAGAGCGGACTAGGGATCTCGCGAAGCTGGCAGCCTCATCTCTAAGCGCATGAATTGCAATTAGCACGTGCTGATCCGGGGAGACCTGTTGCAAATGCACATAGGTCTTGACGTTGGCCTCCCAATTATCAAAGTTCTCTTCCCTCTTTCGACTGTAGGAATCGGGGAACTTGACTTTGACTGGCTCCCTGCGCGGACGTGCCTCTTCCTCCTTGGGAGTTGTCGGCTTGACGCCTTTAATGACGCCCACGCAAAATCGTTTTGTCTTCTCGAGGCGATGGTTCACCTCGGACCCTACTGCGCCTACCAGTTCGTGGGCAAAATCCCGAAATCCCATCCGCATCGAGCGCACGGCCATATCCTGACTTCTACTAAACTCATATTGTTCTTCCTGTACCCGGGCCAAGCGCTCAACACTCTGGGCAATGACCTCCACCTTTCGTAGGAGATCCACCTGGGCGGTCAACTGTTCTCTCAAGTTCTTCACCTGCTCTAATTCCTTGGCCGCCTCACTTGCCGCATCCACTCTCCTCTTCTTTTCCCTCATCATCCCGAGCCTCCACTCCATCCTTTTCTCATGCTCCATCACTTGCCGCTTCAGGGAATCTTCCTCTGCATCCCATTCTTTCATGGCGGCCTCCTGCTTGTCCTTGGAGATATACATGGCAACTTCCTCCTCTTCCCCCAAAGACAAGTTAGCAACCCACTCTGAAATCCTTTTTTCCATTTCATCATTTTTACTCCCACTGTACTGCCCTCGTTGCTCTCTCCCCCTTTCCAACGGCTGCTCATCTTCCTCCTCTTCCTCTTTCACCTCCTTTAGTTTCTCCTCCTCCTCTTTTTTCAATCTTTCCTTCTCTCTGGCCATCTCCTCCTCTATCTTCTTTAACTTTGTCGCCTACATCTCCAACAAGGCCTTCTTCTTGGCCTCCTTCTTTTCTTTCCTCTCCCTCAAAATGGCGGCCATCTTCTCCTCCTCTTCCTTCGTATAGGGCTTGGTGGAGGCACTTCCCCTGGTATCTACTCTACACGTGAACGAGTGCCAGAACCCTAGGGGGAAAAGGAGACGCCAGAGGGTCCCCCAAAGGGAGAACCCAACGAGTAACCCATATATCGGGTAATCATCCATGGTGATAGGTGCACGACAGGACAGTCCCACTCCTCACCACTTAGACCAACCCGCAGACTCACTGACAGACTCTCTAAGGACCACAGGGTAGAACCCTATCAACTATGGTCACTAGCCTAGACCTACTCTAAGGCTGTCACTACTGAACCAGTGGCTGATCTGGAGGCATTTAAGGAGATCCCCCGTAACTCCGCAAGAATTCTTTAACGCGCAGTCAGGACGACGTGATCAGCTTGGTTCTGCCTGTCGCACCGCCCACAGCTCAGCTTTTCAGGCCTACCGTGCCACACCGAGCAGCCCGCCGGTCTGTACCGGTCCTTGGGAGGGTTCGTATCCCCCGGGACAGTCAAGTCGTCAGACACAGTCTTTAGCCTTACTTAGTCTGACAGGGGTTCGGGTCAACAAGGCCCTCAATACTTAAGACTGCCTGTTGTTTCAGCCCACAACTTAGTCTTTCAGGCCCACTGTACCATACCAACCGTGTCCAGCCGGTCAGCACCGTTCCTTGGGAGGGTTATGCCCCCCTGGACAGTTGGATCTGCCACAGTCTCAGCCCTACTAGATCCGGTAGGGGAGTGGTCAACCAGGCCTATCCTTCATCTACAGAATACTACCACTTAGGACAGAAGAGACTCGATGCAGAAAGAAGAGACAGACAAACTCAGACTTAGCAAGTACCGTAGGGTGAGTGCACATCCACAGGGTGAGGGGATAGGCTAAGGGCTTGGCGAGATGTTACCGACTTCAGCTTGGTCAAAGTCTTGGTCAACGACGCCGATCAACTCCTCGGTCAACGCTTGGTCAACGCGGCAAGACCCTGGTCAACACCCTGGTCAACCTCCCGGGCAACGTCCGGTCAACCCTCCGGTCAACTCTCCACCTCGGCTATGGCTGCCGGCACCTTCTCCTTCGCCACCCTTGTCTCTTTCTTCCCCTTCCTTCACCTTCTTCTTCCTTTTTTTTTTTTTCTTTTTTTTTGTCACCCTCGGCTATGTCTGTCTTCTTCTCCGATGTCCCTCCTTCTACACTTCTCCCTCTATCTCTCTCCTCGGTCCCTCCTTCTCTGTCCTCCGTCACTCCGTGATGATGCTCCGCG